GGAACCCTGTCCCAGGACCCCCCCGGAACATTCTGGAACCCTGTCCCAGGACCCCCCCGGAACATTCCGGAACCCTGTCCCAGGACCCCCCCGGAACATTCCGGAATCCCCCGGTCCGGGCTGACCTGGCGGTGTCGGCGCCGTTGGTCATTAAGGTGCTGATGAGCAGCTCGTGGCCGTAGCGCGCGGCCACGTGCAGCGGCGTGTTCCCGAACTTATCGGCGCAGTCGATCTCGCTCCCTGCGGGGCCGGATCCCGGGATTCGCCGCCATTCCCGGCTCCCAAATCCCGGGATTCCCCCCCACACACCCCCCCTCCCACCCCGGCACCCGCGGGAGAAGTTCCGGAATGTTCAGGGCGGCAGCGCCCGCGGCCTGGCTGGGATCCGATGGGAATGGCGGGAAATTCGGGAATATTGGAATGGTGGAGGAGCCGACGGGAATGTCGGGAATGTTGGGAATATTGGGAATAACGGAGAGGGGGAGGAGCCAACGGGAATGTCGGGAATGTTGGGAATATTGGGAATAACGGAGAGGGGGAGGAGCCAACGGGAATGTCGGGAATGTTGGGAATATTGGGAATAACGGAGAGGGGGAGGAGCCAACGGGAATGTCGGGAATGTTGGGAATATTGGGAATAACGGAGAGGGGGAGGAGCCAACGGGAATGTCGGGAATGTTGGGAATATTGGGAATAACGGAGAGGGGGAGGAGCCAACGGGAATGTCGGGAATGTTGGGAATATTGGGAATAACGGAGAGGGGGAGGAGCCAACGGGAATGTCGGGAATGTTGGGAATATTGGGAATAACGGAGAGGGGGAGGAGCCAACGGGAATGGCGGGAATGTTGGGAATACTGGGAATAACGGAGAGGGGGAGGAGCCAACAGGAATGTCGGGAATGTTGGGAATATTGGGAATAACGGAGAGGGGGAGGAGACAACAGGAATGTCAGGAATGTTGGGAATATTGGGAATAACGGAGAGGGGGAGGAGCCAACAGGAATGTCAGGAATGTCGGGAATATTGGGAACACCAGAGAGGGGGAGGAGCCAACAGGAATGTCAGGAATGTCGGGAATATTGGAATGGTGGAGGAGCTGATGGGAATGTCAGGAATATTGGGAATACTGGAATTATGGAGGAGACAATGGGAGTGATGGGAATATTGGAATGGTGGACGATCCAACAGGAATGTTGGGAAGAATATTGGAATATTGCAGATTTCTGACAGGAATATTGGGAAAAATATTGGGAAAAATATTAGGAAAAATATTGGCAAAAATATTGGAATATTGGAGGATCCGCTGGGAATTTTGGAGGATCTGACAGGAATATTGGGAAAAATACTGGAATATTGGAAGATTTGATGGGAACATTAGGAAAAACATTGGAATCTTGGAGGATCTGGAAGGAATTTTGCCTTTCAGGCTGCGGCTCTGAGAACATTCAGCTTGGAGCCGGCTGGAATTTCAGCTCCCTGAAATTCCCCGGCTGCACGAGGCCGGAAGAGCCACGTGGGAATTTGGGATGATTCGGGAAAGCCTCAAGCCCCTCCCTGAGCTTCCAGGAAAACCCAGGATAAGGCGGGAACGCACGGACCGTTCTGGATGAGGATCTGCGAGCGCGTGAAGCGTCCGTGGATCGCCGCCATGTGCAGGGGGCTCTTCCCTTCCTTGCTCTGTGGAAAACAGCCCCAGACGGGCTCAGCTGTACCCCAAAACCTTCCCCAAAATCCCCAAATCCCAAGGGGCTCAGCCTCACCCCAAAACCTTCCCCAAAATCCCAACCCCAAATCCTGAGTGGCTCAGCCGCACCCCAAAACCTTCCCCAAAATCCCAACCCCAAATCCTGAGGGGCTCAGCTGCACCCCAAAACCTTCCCAAAATCCCAACCCCAAATCCTGAGTGGCTCAGCCGCACCCCAAAACCTTCCCAAAATCCCAACCCCAAATCCCAAGGGGCTCAGCCTCACCCCAAAACCTTCCCCAAAATCCCAACCCCAAATCCTGAGGGGCTCAGCTGCACCCCAAAACCTTCCCCAAAATCCCAACCCCAAATCCTGAGGATCCTGAGGCTGGAACCACATCCCAACACCTTCTCCGAAATCCTAACACCAAATTCCAAGGACCCCACACCTGGAGCCGCACTCCAATACCTTTCCCACCCCTCCAACCCCAAATCCCAACACCTTCCCTGCCCCTCCAACCCCAAATCCTGAGGATCCTGGGGTTCAGCCGCACCCCAACACCTTCCCTGTCACTCCAACCCCAGATCCCAACACCTTCCCCACCCCTCCAACCCCAAATCCCGAGGATCCGCACCTGGAATCACACCCCAACACCTTCCCCACCCCTCCAACCCCAGATCCCGAGGATCTGCACCTGGAAGTTGACGTCGGCGCCGTTGTTGACGAGGATCTCGAGGCACAGGGCGCCGTTGGTGGAGACGGCGGCGAAGTGCAGGGGCGTGAAGCCCTTGTCGTTGGGCTGGTTCACGTTGGCCCCCACGTTGACCAGCTCGTTGGCCACGGCGTCCTGGCCCATGTAGCAGGCGATGTGCAGCGCCGTGTTCCCGAAGGAGTTGGGCTCGTCGATCTGCGGGAGAGGAGGGATCCGTGGGATTCGTGGGATTCATGGATCCATGGGATTCATGGGATTCGGGGCTTCGCGATGGGGAAAGCGGATGTGGAGAAGCCAAAGGTTCTGGCAGTGCCCTGGGATCCTGTCACCACCCCGGGATCCTGTCACTGTCCCTCCTGTCACCATCCCAGGATCCTGTCAGCACCCAGGGATCCTGTCACCATCCCAGGATCCTGTCATTGTCCCTCCTGTCACCATCTTGGGACCCTGTCACCACCTCTCCTGTCACCATCCCTCCTGTCACCATTCTGGGATCCTGTCACTGTCCCTCCTGTCCCCATCCCAGGATCCTGTCACCATCCTGGGATCCTGTCACCATCCCTCCTGTCACTATTCTGGGATCTTGTCACTGTCCCTCCTGTCACCATCCCAGGATCCTGTCATGATCCTGGGATTCTGTCACCACCCAGGGATCCTGTCACCATCCTGGGATCCTGTCACCATCTTGGGACCCTGTCAACACCTCTCCTGTCACCATCCCGGGATCCTGTCACCATCCCAAGATCCTGTCATGATCCTGGGATCCTGTCACCATCCCAGGATCCTGTCACCACCCCAGGATCCTGTCACCATCCCGGGATCCTGTCACTGTCCCTCCTGTCACCACCCACGGTGAAGGAACTTGGTTCATGGATATGTGGGAGCCACAGAATCCAGAGGATTTTGGGATTCAGGGAGCAAAAAGGCAACTGAGAACCACCCAAAGCTTCTGTCACCACCCAGGGGGAAGGAATTTGGTTCCTTGATCTCAATGATCAATAAAATCCAGAGGATTTGGGATTTAGGAGGGAAAAGGCAACTGAGAACCACCAAGGGGGAGGAATTTGGTTCCTTGATCTCAGGGATCAACAAAATCCAGAGGATTTGGGATTTAGGAGGGAAAAAGGCAACTGAGAACCACCAAGGGCTCCTGTCACCACCCAGGGGGAAGGAATTTCAAGGAATTCAAAGTTCCTTGAACTTTATGAGCAGCAAAAGTCCACAGGATTTGGGGATTTAGGAAGGAAAAGGCAGCTGGAAACCACCCTGGGCTCCCGTCACTGCTCAGGATGGAATTCGGCTCACAGCTCTGTGGAAGCCATGACATCCAGAGGATTTGGGATTTAGGAAGGGAAAGGCAGCTGAGAAGCACCCAGAGCTCCTGCCAGCCCCTCTCCAGCTCCTGTCCCCACTTTTCCCATCCTCAGGAAAGCTCCCGGGGTCTCACCTCGACCCCCAGCCTGAGGAGGTGACGCACGACCTCGATCTGGCCGCTGGCGGCCGCCGTGTGCAGCAGCGTGTAACCCTTCCTGTCCTTGCACGCCACATCGGCCCCGCGCGCCACCAGCAGCTTCAGCACCTCCAGGTGACCTGGTGGGGACAGCCGTGATGGAGAGCGGAACAGGGCGGGAAACACCGCAGAGATGGGGGAACAGGGGTGGGAAACACCGGAGAGATGGGGGAACAGGAATGGGAAACACCGCAGAGATGGGAACAGGGGATGGGAAACACCGGAGAGATGGGAACAGGGGTGGGAAACACCGCAGGGATGGGGGAACAGGGGTGAGAAACAATGGAGAGATGGGGGAACAGGGATGGGAAACACCACAGAGATGGGGGAACAGGGGTGGGAAACACTGGAGAGATGGGAACAGGGGTGGGAAGCACCAGAGACTGGGACACGGGAGAGACGGAAACCCCAGAGAGATGGGGAAACACAGGAG